ACTGAGATCGAATTTTCTCTAACCTGGCCTTGTGTAGTAATCCTTAAATTTCCGGTCAAAGAACTGTCATTTATGCTTTTGAAACGCATGAGCCTGATGGGTCGTTATGTAGTGCATATTTCCATCTTCAACTCTCCTTGTTCATCTTGAGAATTTCCAGCATGAGCAATGATAATTCAAACTTTCAGACATTTTAAGGAAACATAGGCATCGCATCCGGAAAAGGAAGAAGGATCCCCCGGAATTAAAAGTACAATAATAATTATTAATAGCTTTACAACCTTGAAAGCCCATATTATAGTCAACATGCAGTTTTTTTTTATACTTTTTTTTAAGATGGCTAAAAATCTACTTCTGGTAATGGATTGAAAAACCATTCAACGTGAAATAACTGATTTGGCAAAGGTGAAAATTTACTAACTTTTTTAGTACAAAGTTACAAACCCGTATATAATTTCCCCGTAAAACAAGGGTGTTGAGTTTCTTTTGCATTTGAGTTTAGCTCATTTCTGAACTTCAGCAAGTTTTTTTTTTGCTTAGTTTAAAATTTTCAAAAATTAGATTTTTTTTAATTCTTCATTTTTTTGACAATCTGTTTCATAATTCATAAAACAAAATTTAATATTTTTACAGATTGTTTTCATTTTGATAGAGAGATTTTTTTTATATATGAAACGGACAGACACACAGGCAAACAGGGAGTTGACATTGGCTTTGAACAAAAAATGTATCCCACCGTATAGCATGCCTCAAAAAAGATTGTGTTAAATTTTCTAGCATCTACAATGAGTAGTTGTTGAGAAAACTGCTACGAAAATTTGTTACGGAAAGACACACGGATACACAGACAGACACACAAGGTTAAAACAGTATACCCCCTCTCCTTCGGAGCGGGGGTGTAATTACACAACTATTTACTGAAGATTTAAAACCATCTTTTGTAATTTTGAAATTTCATAAAAGGTTATAACATGGTGTCACAAGAAATAAACGAAATATTGTTGAGTATATGTAAACAATTAATGGAGGCTTAAGTTTGAATTTTGCAATTCTGTGTAAATTACACACAAATAATTAACACTTTAAGGTTTAAAAATCTCTTGTACATACAATTCACATAAATTACTCAATGTCAATATTTTCGCTGCCCTCTAATTCATATTTTTTATCATGTCTGTAGCTTCAATGAAATGTTACCCCGTGGGGATCCGGGTTAGAATAGGTCCTCAGTACCCTCTTGCTTGTCGTAGAAGGCGACTAAATGGGGCGGTCCTTCGGATAAGACTGTATAAACCGAGGCCCCGTGTAACAGCAGGTGTGGCACGATAAGGATCCCTCCCTGCTCAAAGGCCGTAAGTGTCGAGCATAGGCCCAAATTTGCAGCCCTTCACCGGCAATAGTGACGTCTCCATATCAGTGAAATATTCTGGAGAGGGACGTTAAACAGTATGCAATCAATCAATGAAATGTTATCATCACAGCGAAGCATATAAAACTACGTGTGGGTAAACATGTACTAGAACATGTTATTTAGCTCAAGGTCATGTTACTGAACGAATTAGAAACACGGCATATGTGAATATAAAATCAATATAAACCTATAAACTTCTGATCATCATTAGAGTCTCCTTAACAGATTTCCCTGATTTAACCGTGGGATACCAAGGAGATCCCCAACTATCCGGGGTCCAGGCACCATTAAGGAAGGCGCAGTAGCAGTTGTTGAACCACCAGCCTCCTTTAAAATAAGCAGCACAGTTTCCGGTCCACAGATCGTTATCTCTGTCATACGTCGTGAATTTCATCCCAGACAGATCCCCGGTAGAAGTGACCGTGTGCATCATACTGTCACCTGGAAAGTTATATTAAAAAACTACAGACAATCTCTTTAAAATTGTTGCCCTCTGTCAAAAGAATAACTAAACTTGTCCCGTCTCAACCTTTCTTTTTTAATTCCAGGACACGATTTAATTTTTAGCTCACCTGAGCCGAAGGCTCAAGTGAGCTTTTCTGATCACATTTTGTCCGGCGTCCGTCTGTCCGTCTGTCTGTCTGTCCGTCTGTCTGTCCGTCTGTCTGTCTGTCCGTAAACTTTTTCACATTTTCGACTTCTTCTCAAGAACCGCTGGGCCAAATTCAACCAAACTTGCCACAAAGCATCCTTGGGTAAAGGGGATTCAAGTTTATTCAAATGAAGGGCCACGCCCTTTTCCAAGGGGAGATAATTATGAATTAGAGAAAAATTAATGGCATTTTTAAAAAATCTTCTTCTCCAGGAAAGATGAAACTCATGTGGAAGCATCCTCAGGTAGTGTAGATTTAAGTTTGTTCAAATCATGACCCCCGGGGCAAGGGTGGGGCCAAAATGGCCGACCCAAGTTTTACATAGAAATATGTAGGAAAAATCTTTAAAAATCTTCTTCTCAAGAACCACTGGGCCAGGAGAGATGAAACTCATGTGGAATCATCCTCAGGTAGTGTAGATTCAAGTTTGTTCAAATCATGACCCCCGGGGCTAGGGTGGGGCCAAAATGGCCGAAAGTTTTACATAGAAATATACAGGAAAAATCTTTAAAAATCTTCTTCTCAAGAACCACTGGGCCAGGAAAGATGAAACTCATGTGGAATCATCCTCAGGTAGTGTAGATTCAAGTTTGTTCAAATCATGACCCCCGGGGCTCACCGCCCAAGTTTTACATAGAAATATATAGGAAAAATCTTTAAAAATCTTCTTCTCAAGAACCACTGGGCCAGGAAAGATGAAACTCATGTGGAATCATCTTCAGGTAGTGTAGATTCAAATTTGTTCAAATCATGACCCCCGGGGCTAGGGTGGGGCCAAAATGGCCGACCCAAGTTTTACATAGAAATATACAGGAAAAATCTTTAAAAATCTTCTTCTCAAGAACCACTGGGCCAGGAAAGATGAAACTCATGTGGAATCATCCTCAGGTAGTGTAGATTTAAGTTGTTCCAAATGGAAAAATCTTTAAAAATCTTCTTCTCAAGAACCACTGGGCCAGGAAAGATGAAACGCATGTGGAATCATCCTCAGGTAGTGTAGATTCAAGTTTGTTCAAATCATGACCCCGGGGCTAGGATGGGGCCAGATTGGCCAACCCAAGTTTTACAGAGGAATATATAGGAAAAATCTTTAAAAATCTTCTTCTCAAGAACCACTGGGCCAGGAAAGATGAAACTCATGTGGAATCATCCTCAGGTAGTGTAGATTCAAGTTTGTTCTCCCCCGGGGCTAGGGTGGGGCCAAAATGGCCGACCAAAGTTTTACATAGGGATTTATAGGGAAACCTTTTAAAATCATCTTTTCAAGTACTTCAAAGCTATGATTAGTGATATTAATATGGAATCATCTTCTAATTTAGTTTGTTCAAATCATGAACCAATTTAAACTTTCATTTCTGATCTGATATGTGCTTTTTCCAAGCCAATGTGCTCAGGTGAGCGCTGTGGCCCCTGGGCCTCTTGTTTTTTTTTCATTCCTCTTATACCGCTTTAAGTATATTGATATCTTTTGTATTTTTTTTCAATTTCTCACCGCCATAAAATATGACCATGAGTCGGGAGAGGACTTGCAAACATTATTTTTAAGATGGCCTTATTAAAACATTCAAGTTTCATGTTTCCTCTAAGTGTAAGCAAAGATAAATTCTACACTACATGTACCTCTCCCACTCTCTCTTTATAACATGAAAATAAATAAGCATTATTAGTCTAATTTTACTACAATTTCTCTTTTTGATTTATAATAAGAAGACTTTTCAAGTACCTAGGGTTCCAGAGGCCCTCCCCGCAAGAAAGAGTTGATAGTTATCTGCTTCGTTTGAAACCGAGAACTATTCGTATAACTCGTATAGTTTGCTGCCGTTAACCAGAGTGATGGAAATGTAGAGATTTGAGATATTTCCCTTTGTTAACTGGTGGATGACGTCATTTCCTATGCAACAGAAAAATCAAACTTGATTAAATATACATCTATTCCAATTTAAATGAATATAAATGATTCGCTTAGGAGGGGCAAACTTTGAAACCTGAAGTGTCAGACAAGAAGGTTAATTGATTCAATCATCAGAAACGAGTGTCTTCGTTTTGATTGTTCTTAAAGTTTTATCTTATTTTCTCCCCGCCTCTTGAACTAAATTTCATCTGTACATTCGAATTAAAACTGCTTAATATTATATACAATTTACAAATAGCGGATGTTTGATTTTTCAATGATCATAAAAATGAATAAGATCAAAAATATGTTATTAATTACCGATCCAGAAATCCAGTCCCGCGTCACCGAATCTCTTCTATATTCGTCCCATGTTCTATCAAAGCTCACAGATCCTTTTACACGTTTTTGTATTGCCTTCCAAATATAATACATTTATTCAATATTATTTGACGAGGATTGGCAAATTGTATATTTTTCATTTAAAAACCTCCTGAATGAAACAGAAAAAAAATAAATGCATGTCACAAAAGAAAAATACCGCCCACCCGCCTCCCATAGTGTACATATCACAGAAAACTCTGGCAGGTCGGGCTCGGGATCCATAAGGGAAAATCTGGTACACACCCGAATTATTCTCACCATACTCATGGAGGTTTTTACAATTTGTAGGTAGATCTGAAACAGAACAAAGTCATTTGGGTAATATGATGCAAGTTTTTCGTTAAATTTCTGGATCGATATGTTTCATTTTGTGTTGCATTACTTAAACTTATTTGTGACAGTTATATGCAGACCATTTTTCACCAACGGTTAACACACATATATAATATTTTTATAAACATAATATATACCAGAAGCCAAAATGATACACACATTTGCACTAGAAATTTTAATGTTTTCAAATTTTTATCCTTCTGCAAAAATCTAATTGACTGGCGAATTTATGTTTTAAATGAAGCTCAGTGGACATTCTCTTCGCACTATGAGTCATCTTATCAAAACTTAAGAAGGAATGCCACAACAAATTTTTATTTTATAGATCTGTGAGTCAACCTTTTTAAACAATGATTTCAGCATTGAAAAGCCGATATTAGCTCTCAATTATTTTATATGAATTTTTTTGCATTATTTCAAAGAAAATGAAAAAAATTATTTCCATCAAAATAAGATGCTTTCTGGTAACATTTTCGCTGTAAATCAATGCATCTCATTAATATCTTATAAAATATGTGTAGAAAAGTTGTATAGATATGAAATTTTTTAAAATAAAAAATATTTATGAAAATAAAACACATAATTTGTGAATATTTTTTAAATTTGTGGTTAAAATTAAACCGATCCCAACCATAATTGTATATTTATTGGAAATAAATACATTTCCCCAAGAACACTAGTCTGATTAAGTGCTGCTATCCCACAAGTTGACATGGGATGGGATCGGATAGGATTCAGGATTGAGGATTCACGATAGAAACATATAAAAGTTAATCCAATCCTATCCTATCCTATCCTATCCTGTATCCTACAGCCAATCAGATTCGAGCAAAGGTTCATTCATATTTCAGAATAAATTACAAAAACGAAATACGATATAAAATGTTTACAAAAGAAATATTAATAAAATTTCAATAGAAAATAAAACATTTTTTTCTCAAAACACAGATTTACATTATTAACTTCGAGTTCGAGTAACACGGCGTACGATCTAACCGTGAACGATCACCGGAAGATTTGGGAATGTAAACAACGAAGAGTTCAGACATCGAAAGACCGTATTTCTTCAGCTTGTTTGGATGATTTAACCGATTCTTACTTGTGTAAAAGTATTCTAACATGTTTTCTGTTAAATATGCTCTGTTTGTTTGGATAATTCCACAGGAACCGTCAACAGCGGACTTGAATAGATGATGTGCGAGTTCATGTAAGT